TGTAAAGGTAGATCAGCTGGCAACTTCCAAACATCTGAATAAACAGTAGGATACACACGATTGTGAGAGGACATCCATAGTCGACTTTAATATTAAAGACAGAATGCGAAGACTAGACCTTTAAAACACGTATGTAGAAGAATACGAACTATACATACATGTAAAAGGTAACCCCACAAACCGTTTCTAAGTATTAAACCGTATGTATGCTGGAAGCAAACTGACTAGACCTTAAACACACATGTAAGGGTAGATCAGCTGGCAACTTCCAAACATCTGAACAGACAACAGTAGGATACATACGATTGTAAGAGGATATCCACAGTCGACTTAACATTAAAGACAGAATGCGAAGGCTAGGCCTTTAAAACACGCATGAGAAGAATACGAACTATACACACGTGTGAAAGACAACCCCGCGAACCATTTCTAAGTATTAAAACGTATGTATGCTGGAAGCAAACTGACGACCTTAAACACACATTTAAAGGTAGATCAGCTGGCAACTTCCAAACATCTGAACAAACAGTAGGATACACACGAGTCGACTTAACATTAAAGACAGAATGCGAAAATTACACGCATGTAGAAGAATATGAACTTATACACACATGTGAAAGGCGACATCACAAACTGTTTCTAAGTATTAAACCGTATGTATGCTGGAAGCAAACTGACGACCTTAAACACACATGTAAAGGTAGATCAGCTGGCAACTTCCAAACATCCGAATAAACAGTAGGATACACACGATTGTGAGAGGACATCCATAGTCGACTTTAACATTAAAAACAAAATGCGAAGACTAGGTCTTTGACACGTATGAGTGCTCTTGTTAAAAAAGCAACCTCGCAAACCGTTCGGCGTGTTTTGATAAATAATGATCAGATGACGTAATGATCAATACCAATTACAGTACTGTATTTTGGTGGAATGTTATTGGATCCCTATAATAGGATATCATGTGATTTTATTATTATACCAATAATAGGGATGGGCACACTGCATCGCATAATACAATAATAGTGAGAATGATGTAATTAGCTATAGCTGGTGTCATAAGAAATAATTAAATTGGTAATGTAATAATATAATAATGGCAATAGCTTGTAAAGTTAGTTCAAAAAATGTTACAAGTGGTCTCTAAGTTTATTTATCCAAAAATATAGTCCAAAAACTAATGATTCCATAACCAAGTTACAGACTTTAAGAAAAAAAAAATCATTGTTATTTTTGTCTTGTATAGAAAGACACTTTCAATATTGCAACATGACTGAAAGAAACAATCAAACAAGTATTAGCAAGTACAACAACAGTGACCAAATTGTAATATGCTTTAAAGTTAAAATCTTGTCTTATTTATTATTATTATTTTTTTTTTTTAAAATATATATTATTTATATATATATATATATATTTTATTTATTTATTTATTTATTTAAATTGGCTAAAGGCATTAGATACATGACATTTATTAAACATTTGTTTTGTAGTCAGTACATCAAACATCTTTACAAAGTAGACTATTGCTATCCTAAATGCAAATTAATGCTACCTGATGATCATCGTTTCCAGTGCTCCCAGTTTCTCTTAGATTAATTGCAACATACTCAGCTATATAAATTTTAAACATCAAGTAGATGATTCATATGTCAGGTAAAACTTATATAGGGGGTGGAAATCCTACCATTAGTTTAAACCACCTAACCTACTAGATTCAGTCTCAACTGCATCTGTTGTGAGTAAGGCATATTGTGAAATATTATTATAGAAATTGATTCCAGTATTCCATTCGCTATTATCACTGACCCTCAAGATATACCACTAGTATAGCGCAGTACTACCATTTTCACCACCTGTGAAACTGGCATCCTTGCTTGGATTCTGATTTAATCTTGTAGATCCTCACTAGACTCACTTGACTTAACGATTTTTTTCTAGTCTTCTTATCACCTGTGGCTGATACTTTGCCCTTCGGTCATATAATTAAGTTCCTTGGAACATCACCATTGGAATAGATTTACAAGCTCCAGATTGGGATATATCAGCTTAGAATTAACCTCTTTATATTGTGTGACGGAGTCTGCCGTTGCCAGTTTGGATTAGAGTTTGTGGGCTTATTATCAGAGTTAGATCAGAAGCCTTTCCTCATGCAACCTTCCTTGCTTCGACCTGTTTTCAGCCCATGATCGTCGGGAAGACCAGAGATCCCATCTTTATGCAACCTAACTAGATTTGAAGATAGATTTATTGGCTGATTGGGTATAACATAAATTGAAAGCCAGTCAACCAATCATGAAGGTGATAAATTTTTGTAACCAGGCGGGGTTGAACCCTAAACCTTCTCCTGGTGACCTATGGAGCATTACCACTGTGCTATAGACCCATAGGTCATTTGTCTTATTTATTATTATAATTTAACAGTTTGAATTATTATTATATAAAAAGTGAACTATTTTAGTAAAAGATTTGTCAATAATAACAAAAATATATATTTACAAAAAAAAATTATAAAAAATAGAAACAGCTATAAAATAAATTAATTAATTAGTGAAATTGATGATTATATAGAAATAGACAGAAATAAAAAAATTTTAATAAATTAAAAATCTTGATTTAAAATTATTTTATAAATTTAATGATTTTTAGAATTAACAAGAATATTTATTTTAATAATTATTAAATAATTTAATAATCTTTTAGAAGTTTTTAAAATTAAATAAAGATTATATAAGAGGAAATTTATTTATTATATGAACTAATATTATAACAATTACAAATATCTTAAATCTAAATTATTTTTGTTATAATTGTTTTATTTCTTTTATTTCTTTTTTTAATTATATGTCTTTTTAAAAAAAATAGCTTAAACATAATACAATAAAAAAAAAATCAGTAATTAATACAATTTTCTCTTATATCTATACAATTTTGAACACAGGTGGACATGTTTCGAATTGTGAAAAGAATAATTACTTCTGGAATACTCACCCATTCTTCCTTTACTAATTTAATAAAAATTTTTTGAGACATTTCTTTTTTTTTAGCTATTCTTTTTTTTACTCTTTTTTCTACGTTATACTTTAAAAATGCCCAAATATTCTAAATAGGATTGAGATTTGGGCTGTACAAAGGCCACAGCAGAACACAAGATGGAAGTCAGACTTGCGAATCACTTTTGACATCCTTGAAGATGTGTTTTGAATTATTGTCCTGCTGAAAGATCCAATGACTTCCATATAGATTTGTTGTATTATCATATAGGTGTTTGTCTAATATGTCATGGTAAAGATGGCAGTCTAAATTTTCTATAAATGTTTTGAACTGATTTTTTCACATTTGCTGATCACTACCCAAACAGGCAGCTTAAAGGGGTACTTAACTATTGGTTCTTGAGAATTTTCACTGCGAGACTATATAAAGCAAGTATTTCTAAACATTTGCTGTGTTGTTTTATCAGAAAACACAACATTATGCCAATTGTAATAAAGATGATTTTGTACCTATTGCAAGTAATTTTCTTTAGCACATTCTGTAAGAAGAAGAATGTATTTAGGAAGCCTATAAATAAATCCAAGTTTTTTAAGTTCAGTACGTATAGTATGTTCACTAATCTTATAGTTTTGATTTGTCTCCTTAAGTCTAGCTTTGATTTCACTTACTGTTACAAAAGAGTAATTCTTGATAATTTGTCCAATTTGACAACACTTTGTAGGACTGGGTGGCTAAGATGGTGGATTTTAAGAATATAGCCAATTTTATTTAAGGAGGAGACATAACGTTCATAGGAGCGCAAAAGAATACCATTTCATTGAAAAATTTCAGTTGGACTGCAAATACTACTTTGCCATAAAATCTTCACTATCTGGCGGTTATCACAGATCGTTGTCATTGATAAGCTTATAAAAAAAATTATATAAACAGGAGTAACCTTACATGATCTACTTAAATATATTCTTAATTGGTTGAATTATTTACTTGTAAATTTTAGAACCTATTTAATTTAAAAAAAAAATTAATATAACAATAAAATCGCAAGAAAACATAACCGCTATTATTTTTTGCCGTAACTGTAATTATAGTAAAAATAATTAAATTAGTTATTATATATACTGTATATATATATATTTTACTGTTAAGTGAGATATTTCTCACAATTTTTATTAATAAAGTAAAATTCATTACATGATTAATATTAAGATGTTAAGATAGACCTGTGGATTTGTAGTGTAATGGTTAACACTCCACAGGTCAAATCACAAGATACCAGTTCAACCCCATGTGAGGGTGGTTAAATAGAATTAATATGGTATTTGGCACCATAACCAGTTAAGTTTTATTTCTCATGAAAAGCCGTTTCACATGCTGATTCAACAGGCGTTGAGATTGTAATTTTCAGAAAAGGTGTTGGGGCGTAACAATTATCCAGTTAGTATTACGATAATCATTGCCAAGTTTGATACAATTCCTAATTCCACAATAGGCTATTTTCTTTCCCCTATAGTTCATAAGACTATAAAAGAAATACATTATGGAGAGCCACAAACCAAAGAAACTTGACAGCAAGACTATAACATGACTCCCCCTTCCATATGAGTTATGACTCGTCAGTAATATCCACCATTCTTACCTGTAGTAAAGATACTAGTTGATAATGTTTGCCAGAATGGAAAACTCCCTTTAAGACTTAGCCCGACTTTGGAGGAGTTGTGCTCTCTTAAATAAGCAGCTTATGCTTGAAGCCTGGCATTATCTAAAAAGGATTGGATCATCAACCCTATAAGGTTTAAAGGTATTGAAACAAACCCTAGTCAATAAGATTCCATCCGCTTTTCAAATAGTGATCCTTCAGGCTTAATACCCTATAAAGAAAACCAGAAAAGATAGAGACACAGTACTCCGATGGATAATCTGTATGGTGTTAAAGAATCTTACTAAAAGGTTTACAATCTTGTGGCTGGAAGATGTAAAAAAATCTTAGATAGCAGGCTGTATCAAAACGGCTTAAAGCCCATAGGTAGATTCTAGTTTATATATAGTATTTAATATAGATTAATGTTGTATATACCTTGTATGTAATAATCTATCTACAAATAAACATGGACTAGAGTGTAGTTTCACTTTAGCAGTTTAAAAAAAAAAAATTAAAATGTTAAAATTAAAGATTGATTCCTAAATTAAAAACAATGACATAATTCAAATGTCCTTCACTATTAAAAAAGTTTTTTTTTTAATATAAGGTTAAAAAAAAACTACTTACAAAGGTTTTTTGCAATTTAGGTCACTTAATCCAAGTGTTTTTTGAATTATATTCCTTTTAAAGTAATGAATAAATAATTATGTCCCTTCAAAAGGATCATAATTGATTTGCAAAATTTTATATACTAAATAGTTTAGGAACCCATCCTTAGTTAAGATATATTGCTATATATGTCACCCTACCACCATATTAGATATATTTTTGCTAAAAAACCTTTGGGCAAGGAAAAAGAAAGTAACTATCTAATTTTGAAGGGCTAATGTCTCCTTAATAATTTATTCTGTTCTGGAAGAGCATGGATAGATTCTGAGAAAATAGTTTGAGTATTATGTTAATAAGTTCAATTTTTTGAATTGGTTTGTTATTATTTGTTGGATTAGCAGTTGGGTTTTGTCGATATTATAAGTTGTTGTTATTGTTATTATTATTTTTCTTATATTTTATGTTTTGTAAGATGTCAAGAAACTTTTCCTCC